AAACAAAGTAGTGCCTTCTTACTCCGAGCCTTTTTCCCACAATAGGTTGGGCTTTTTGTCTACTACAGTATGGCTGAACTTCGATTTTTTTACTGCCACCAGACCTCCACAACTCAAGTACTAGGCGATATATCATCATCATCATCAGCCTATCGCAGTCCACTGCTGGACTTAGGCCTCTCCCATTGCACGCCACTTAGATCGATTTTTAGGCGATATTTATTTAAGCAGAATTATATTTGCAAAAAAATGGTGGATAAAATTATAGTTTTCGTGTAGCAAGTACATTAGAGTACATAAATAGAGGTGTAAATCGGTTTTCTGTCAAAATAAATTTAAAATTTAAAATTGCTACTCTCTGTAAGTGGTACATAATTAGTATTCTAATTAGAGATGAAAGAGGTATCCGGTAAATATCCAGTATCCTGTATTATTGTTGTTAACAAATAAAGGAAAAAGCACATCTTACATCTTTAAATCGCCTGTAAACAGTGGGTTAAGAAACCAGTCGATAAAAAATACGCAGGCGTAAAATATTAAGATACAGATAAAAGAAGCATTGACGTTTTGGGCTGTGTACTAATGAAGGCGATTTTATTAAGTGGTACCCGTAAAGTCAGAAGCCCTCGTTCCACTGTACTGTGAAATGTCAAATTTTCAAATTTCGATTTCAAAACATGCATTTTTAACATTAAGGCACAGGCATGCAATCATAAGTCGAACATACAGTCTGTCATTCCAAGGACTCTTTTGTTTACTGTACAGAACGTTGGTCAGTTGTCCCTCCCATGCGTCGATTTGAATACAAACAGCTGTTAATTCATTGGATAATGAGCGGTGCCTTCTCGTCCTTATTAAGAAAATGTTCTCAATATGGAACACGATAGTACCCTGAGATACGCTTATAATACGATATTTAGTTACCCGTTAATTCGTTTCTGAGAATACGAGTATGATTGGGTTGTTACCCTGTAAAATTGATGATTAATTGGTTTTGTATAAAGGCAATCGTTCGTTAGTTATTTGGAAGGTTTTTTTCAGTGCCTTTTGAGATAAATATGAAAGTAAAGTAAATAAGATTCACAAATAAGCTTCTGATTTTGAGGAATAATGTTTTTTTAAAGAGTTTTAAAGAAGGGGAGGTAGTCAATGGAAAACTCCGTCATATATAAACCGATTTTAAACCTTTCTATTTGGTGACAACTTCCGCACTAGGAATATTTATATCCTGTGTCGGGGGTACTACACAAACATTCATGAAACGGACACTAAGAACACACAGACTCAGAACAACACTTTGTGGATCACACAGTGTTGTCCCAGGTGGGGATCGAACCCATAACACTCCGCCATCCGGGCAGTCAATGAATTCTGTGTTAGTTTTTTAGGGTTCCGTACCTCAAAATGTAAAGAAGGAACCCATATAAGATCTCTCTCTCTCGTCCGTCTGTCCGTGTGTCACCACAGATTTTCTCAGGAACGGGTGGACCTAGCAAGTTGAAATTTATACCAGATACTGAGGTCTATAGTCCCTATTAGGTTTAGAAAAACTAAGGTTCTGAGTCAACACGATAAAAAGATATGGGCAAATTTAGATTTTCGCGAATACTTGTAAGTACCAAAATTTACCTTAATTTTCAACTTTTTTTATTTTTTGGCATTTTCCGTATACTTGTGCTGTAAGACGGATTTTAAACAAAACTGTAAGTTCTAGGTCAACCGGAAGTACCCTATACGTTTTGGGTCGAAAACCTAAATGGTAGTTCCCGTTGACCTAGAATCACGAAATTTGGCAAAAAGAAACGTCTTACAGCACAAATAAAGAAATAATTCCTTGCGTCTTAAATGATACGAGTACCAATTTTATTATGGCGGTATAATAGGTAGGTACGGAACCCTCGGCGCACGAGTTCGACTCGCACTAAACCGTTTTTTTAATGTTTATTATTTTTTTGCTAAAAGATTGTTCTAGAACTCCGAGAATCTCAAATACTTTAGCTTTGAGAAAAGAGCTAATTTCCTATACCAGAGGCGCTCGGTATACAAAGAGGCGCTCGGGATACGAGGTGTCTCTCTGAATCATGTCAGTCAGTTCCGTTATGTAAATCCATATTCTTCAGTATTCAGTATTCTCGCCCACTTACAACGGTTCGTTCATTGTGATATTTTTTTATGATAATCCCATTTTCATGAAAAAGAATCACTATTTAAGTTCATGTCATTTGTCAAAAATTAGCAATGGACCGTAGATATATTTGTAACTTGTTTACTATACAATAAACAAACACACAAATAAACTACTGCGCGTGGCCCGACACGTACTTGGCCAGTTTTTATGCACTATCACAACTTTTTTTTCTTGATATAAGGGGGCAAATGAGCAGACGGGTCACCTGATGGTAAGCAACTACCGCCGCCCATGGACATCTGCAACTCAAAAGTTACAAGTGCGTTGCTGCCCCTGGAGTCCCTCCCGATCGAGTAAGCGGGAGGGGGGATTTGGGCTCCGGTAATCTCACTAACTCAGTGAAAGGCAACGAAAGAATTGCTTAACACCAGTAACTTTTAAGAGTTTCTCATTGGTCAGTGAGAATGAAAGAAAATAGGTATTTTAGTTACTGAATGAAACACAATGAACTATTTTAGAACGGATCATTGTATCATTGTTTATGTTTTGAGTCATAAAGTTTTTATATATGATTCAATGTGGCATATTCGGCCTCCCACAGTGAATTATTAGCAAAGTAATAAATATATATTTAGGTTTGGTTTCATAATGAGGGCACAATAAGAACTTGGAGGGAGAGTAAAAGTTGGGGCAGACGGCGGACGATGTGAGATGGTGTAAGGTACTAACAAGATATGCGTCGGATTGTTGAAAAGGTGTTTCCACATAATACGAATACGGATTGATTAGTGTTTAGATCTGCAAGTTTTTTCGTAGTCAGTGCCAACATAAAACAGACAGTTCATATTAAGTTAACTAAAACAATAATAATAATATAACTATAGGTATGTATATTTTGACCTAGCATCGCTTGATTTTTTTAAATAATTATTTGAATAAACATGTCAGTGAGATTTCGGGTTTAACTCGTTTTAAGACAAGTCAAGTAGTGTCTTATAACTGCTAATAATATCAGTAAGTCATTAACATAATTTCTATTTAAACATTCAGTTTTACCACAATACATCTGCAATTTCATACACCTAATGAAATATAATAATGTAAAAGATCCGTTCAAGATAAAAAAATTAACCGCTATTGATACTAACTTATTATATGCAGCAGCTGTCACACAAACCCATCGCCTTCGGCGCGTTAGTACATTTAACACGCTCACGTCGCGTCGCCCTCCCGCCTCGTCCGCTGTCTATCCCAAACTTAACAAAATCGTGTCGTAAGCGTGTAGCGTTAAGGTTTACTCACATGCTTCCTTTATTATTACAGTATTAAATCATACCAGTACAAATAAACAAAACAATCCCTTTGGTTACTTTTTTGAACTCTTTCAACATTAAAACATATTTGGACGATTTAAATATAACTTCGTATTTAATATTATCGTTTACACAGTTTATAAAACAGTGCCTAGATTATGACTCTGGAATATTATGTAAAGTTTTATAGTTTTTAGTATAAATACACCAACTTATTTCTTAGATCCCGACAGTTTATTGTTATTGTATTAATTTTTTTACTAGCTGGTACCCGCGACTTCGTTCGGACTGGGTAAAGTTTTAAAGGGTTTTTCTTAGAGGATAAATAGACTAAGTTACTCCTTATATAGACAGTCACCTGGTAGTAAAAGTATTATCAAAATCGCGGAAGCCGTTTAGATGATTACCTGGAACAAACAGACCGACAGCCAAAAACATTTAATCTGATTTTTAGGCATGGGTATTGTGCAGATAACCGTGTCAGTATGAAAAAACCTATTATTTTGACGTTACAAACAGACACTGCAATTTAATTTATTTGTATGGATATGATGATATAGATTACAATGTATTAAAATCTATTCTATACAACCGATTAACTTTTTTTATTTGTAAAATTTTTCTTTTCGTTTCCTGCAATCTGTAAGAGTGATTTCGTGGAGAGGGACGGAAATGTGTAACAGGCACACGGCGAACCGTGCGCAGTTTTATACACGCGTGCTTGCGGTTTCAAAGTTGGCTGTCAGATTGCGTGCGATGTCATACGTCAGATGCGACTATTGTAAGACTAGCTCAATTATTTTTAAAAAGGAAATTTAGGCACAGTATTGACATCAAGTATGTACTGAATATTTTCTTTTAAATTATTCTTAAACAATTAAACTGTAATTTGTTATGTTTTTATAGCTTTCTTTTATTTACTATATCGTCCGGTTCTAATTGGTGTATGCAGATTTATTTTAGGTAGTAGTTAATAGACATTTAACTTAAAAACAATGGTGCTTATGACTGTGGATTCGCTTCGGGTATTTTTATCACAGATATTTTTTAATTATACATATAACCACGTTAAGTGTCCTTAATATGGCTATTATCACGCTATCACGTTCACACTGGTTGCTGGTTCACATACATTTTATTCCTGTTTCATTCAAAATATGTTTTTAAGTAAAAAAATATACAATTTTATTATTAGTGTATCCAACAAATTGTACAATGCTTGGTATATAACTAACGCACTTTAGAAAGTAATTTACCTGTCAAAGTAAAGGTACACTTTTAGAATTTAGAATTCAAAACAATAGACTTATTAAACAAGGTGTGTTTAATATTGTGTAAAAGGATCTTATTTTGTATTTTGAGTAACATCACGTGCGCAACTCCATTTTGTGTAATATGATGCCTATTTTGTTACAGATTAAAAATAGTGCTGTGACTACAAAGTATCATCAAAATGGCGGGAAGGACAATTAAAGAATGATTTGTTGGTGAAAACGATGACAGGAAAAAAGTTCGATATTTAATTTTAATTCAGTGAAGTGCTAGTGTAGTGCTCAAAAATGGAATCGTTCGATTCTTTTGAGAACATTTCGAAAATGGAACTAACAGAGAATGGCACATATTATCCACAAGAGGCTACAATACTAGCTGCAGCGTGTGCTATCATTTTTAGTGTCGTCGGAGTCGTAGGTAAGTCTCTATTCCTAGTGATGTTTGTATACAAAATGATATGATGTTTACAGTATCGATTTATGAGTGAACGAGTTTTGCATTTGATACAACTATTCGAGGAAAGCGTTGATATACTGTTTATTTGCGAGGGGTTTGAGACGACTCGTTATACAAACAACTTGTCATCGTGTCATGTCCTAATAAGCTACATTTCAAAGTATATGTCAGTAAAATATTTCACCGAGCTGTTTGCGGAATAGTTTGACTGTATTATGTATGTAAATCAACGTATAATGGACATTAGCATTTTAAAAGTAGAAGTTTATTTAAAATAATACACACAATAATATAAGGCTATATTTCTTTGTATATAAGATTAATGTTACATATGGGTTTGCTTGAATACAATGTAGTATGTAATTTCTGTAAGTAAAATATGTTACAAAAGGAAACGATATAATCACGAAGTATACAAGTTTGAAACAAAATCTTAATGCTAAAGGAATACGGTAAATTTTAGATTGCACTATTTTTGAGAACGCATTTGTTTACTGCTGGATGTACTCGCTATCTCTAGAAAGCGTTCAATAATCGGTCACTTAACACGAACGCAACATAAAATGTTAAGTGCTGGTCGTAATCGGACATCAAACGGTTTGTTACACGACTCGATACCCGCTCTCGGACACCGGCTGCGTAAACAAACGTACTGTGCACATCCCTAGTTGCGTTCGATATTTGAATTATTATTTTTTAAATTTAGAACAAGATGTTGATCTATAACGGATACAGAAATATTCATACGAAGATTGTCTATAATTAGAATCAACTTCAAAAAACGCTTACTGAAAGATGTATTCAAGATTATTAACGAGTTTCACACTTACTATTTCATTTCTGAAATAAGAGGATTTACGAGTATTTTTAGTTAACTTTAAATTCGGTTACTACCACATCATCACACCAACAGCCTATAATAGTCCACTGCGTGGACATAGGCCTCTGGAAAGATAAGGAGGTTTTGGCCTACCATACCACGCTGGCCAGACGGGTTGATATAGGGTTTGTGTCAAGTTCTCCTTCGTTAGGATTTGTTAATTACCACATACCGTGCATAATATTTACTTTAAGTTGATAGCTTTATAAATCTCATAGGTAATTAACTTTTGCCCTCAGCTATGCTCAAAAAACGTGGTCGAATCTTCTTCTCATATGTAACATGAATGGTTCATGTAGTCATAATAGCAATAAAACATAGTTCATAATATAGTAATAAAAACAAATTTTATTGCTTAAAAGACTAGTTCGGAATGAAAAAAAAACTGCCAATTGTGCAAAGTTATCGGGATATTTCAACGCAAATATTTAAAACTGATAACATTCCATGTTTGAAATTTTCACCATAGACATTATAGACATTCTGAATAGTACAAGGAGTATTAATGCCATAACTCCAATACTTATATTCAACTTACATGACATAAAACAGTAATAAAATCTGTTAAGGGCAGTTGCCCTTATGAATGGGGCTTTGACGACGGACGTGACTAAGCACGCAGCCATACGCACCATTGAATGTTAGCTGGAATTAATTACAACTTTAAGCTTTCCATAGCGTAAAGACGTTTGTCAAATAATTCGGATGAATCGGACCGGAAATTCTTTGAGAATTGGTCTGTTTCTTTTTGGGGTTGCCAGCACAAACTTGTGTGTTGCCAGCACAAACAAAAATTAAAACGATGTGTGTATGTAATTATGTTGTTATTTTAGGAACGTGAGATACTTAATTTTAATTGAATGAGAAAATGTGTAATAAGAAACTTTTAATTGCGTGCGTACACTCAAGTCTATAATTCTGAAGGGGTAGACAGAATTGTATTAAACGCCCACTGTTTGCCGACCATAACTTTAGTTCAGGCTCGTGGCAAAGTGGTAGCCGAGTCGGTTAACACATTGCAAAGTCAAGCAATCTTAGCCAGGTCAGTCTTTGGATGAGTGACTATTCTTCACACCCTGAGAACCCTCCGTGCCTCGGAGAGCACGATAAGCCGATCTACAGAACTTCGATATTGCCTAGTATCTACTACCTTCTAGTACGTACTTGGGTTGTGGAGTTCTGATGACAGTCGCTTCTCGTGGAAAATCGAAGTTCAGCCGTATCGTAGCAGACTTTAAGCCGACCAACCCAGTTTAGGTAAAAGGCTCGGAGGGTAGAAAAATACTGCCGTACACCAAGCACTTTTGATAAATAGGGGTGGTGACATAACATAACATACTGTGTGTGCGTGCGCGGGTGTGCGTGTGTGTGTGTGTGTGCATGTGTATGTGTGTGTGTGCATGTGTATGTGTGTATAAAAATAAACAACAACATGCTATCTCTTTTGGAGATTTATAACACTCGTAACTGTATAATGTCGCCTCATCTCAGAGTAGGCGGAGCCTGTATTATGGCAACCCGACTGCTCACATATATAGTTGTAAGTTTTTCAATTTACGTAAAAACCCACCTCATCATCATCAGCCCATCACAGTCACTGCTGGAAATGGGCGTCTACAATTGTACGCCACTTGGTTCGATCCTCGGCTTCTCCCGCTTCTTCTTTAAAACCCTTGTATTAATGTAAATTTTACATATAATTTTATGTATCGCATCACATCAACAGCCTTTAATATTCCACTGCTGGACATAGGCCTCTCCTTAGGAAAGAGGTTTTGGTCTACTATCCCACGCTGGCCAGACGGGTTGGTATAGGGTTTGTTTCAAATTTTCCTTCTCTCTGCAGTGCTTTTGTCCTGCGCAGTTTGCTCCCTTACTCGGCTCTTACGACACCCACGATATGAATAGGGGTGGTGACATTCCGTATTCTTAATCCGTCACCACACGGACATATATGTGTATAAAATATCAAGGAATCAAAATATCCTAATTCTTATTTGTATTGCATAAAACGCACTATATGTATCTTGATGTCTATGAAGAACATCACGGACATTATCGTCAGGCATTTTATCACGTGATCTATTAGCGAAAGCAATTAGCCTCACTAGGGGACATCCGCACATAATCCACCCCCTATGTACACCATGGACAATGCTATTATTAGAAAGCAATAAATATACTCTATGGTTATTGTTGTGTTTCGTGGCAGGCCTTCATAGATGTTTTATTTTGAAAATAGACCCAACGTAATAAACTTGTAGTGTGTACTGTTTAAATCAACTTAAAAAGTTTTTATAGATTTTTTAGACTAGCGTCTTTTAGATGTAGTTGTCTAAATTTGGATTTTGGGACTTCTGCGGCCATGGACATCCGCAACTCAAGAGTTACAAGGGCAAAGGCACTCTTTGAGACCCCTACCTCCCCCTCCCCCTCCCCAAACCCGGTAACCTCACTCACTCGGTGAAAAACAACTATAGTATTGCTCTTCACGGGTTTTCTCTAAGGCAAATACAAATATCTTTATTTTTAATAAAGTAACATCTGGTATTAGTTTGTGATTGGAACCTCCTTTTAGGCAAACAATGCCTGTGTTAGAACATTCCACTCTTCCATAACTACATATAAATTATACTTATATATGTCTACGAGTTGTGTGTGTGTGTGTGTATGTGTGTTTTTGTGGGTGTGGGTAATGTCTTGTAAGAAAGTTTCAGTCACATCATAGATCAGTGGCTTTAGCCAAGCCGTTTCAAGTATGTTACATTCATTCCAATTTTTATGATATATGTTTTAAAAAACAAGACAACTCCCGCACTAGGAATAAATCCTGTGTAGCGGGGAACTTTAGAAACATACATGAAACGGACACAAAGGACAACCAGACTCAGAACAACAATTTGTGGATCACACAAAGTGTTGTCACATGTGGGGATCGAACACACTCAGCGCAGTAGGAAGCAGCGAGGTGACCGCTTAAACCACTACGCCATCCGTGCAGTCAGTTTATTTCTTTGTTTACTCTATAAATATAATTTAGCAGCGCGTTTAGTGTATTCTGTATTAGCAAGTTAAGTTTTATTAACTGATTCTTCTACAATAATATCTTTTCGCCTTTCTAGCATGACACCAGAATTGCTAGGCAGCGGCAGTGGTTTTACTCCGGTCGAGATCTCCCATATGTTGTAATAGAACGTAATAGTTTTCCAGACGTCTAAACTCTAGCGGATGGAAGTCAAGAGCCTACTTGTCACCCGTTGTTATTAATAGATATAAATTGTACCTACACCTTTTATCACTGCGTAATAATCTCGCATAATATATTATTTTTCCAACGATAAGGGCTAACACGTTATTGGATCAATACTCTAAGAAGAGAATTGTTGTATGTAGGCTTGCCAGATGGCCAGGAAATCCGGGATTGTCCCGGAATTTTGCGTCTTGTCCCGTGTCCAGTAATTAGACCTTATTGTCCTGAATTCTGAAAACCTACTAGTTTTGTAACAAAATAAACTAACAACGAATGACACGGCTGGCCTGCCTGTGAGTGCGGGCGGCGCGGGGGAGGGGAGTGCTAGGGAACATGGGGTTCCCACACGGGGGGGGTCGTCTACCTGTTGTTGTAGATGGCCCGAGGTATGTCGGTGCACCAGGGACTTCCTTTCTAGGGTATACCTGGTTCCCCGGCTATTAGTACCCGAGACGGCGTGCGGTTTAAGTCGGTTCGAGTCCGACATGCCACCACATAGGTGGTATCCGAGGGGATTTCCGCATGGAAAAAAAAAAATGGGGGAGTGCTTACTACGTTCGTAGATACCTGTCTAATAAAAGTATTTGAGAATAAGTGGCATTTTCCTTTTCAAATACAAATATAAATCCTTTGAAAATAAGAAAAATAAGATTGATTATCCGGTGATCTTAAGTATTTGTTGTGTGTGTCGTAAACACATGTATAACGTTCATAAACACCCTGTTAAACAAGACATACAGCTAGGATTGCCAGATAGAAACACATCAACAGCCTTTAATAGTCCACTGCTGGACATAGGCCTCTCCTTAGAAAGAAGGTTTTGGGCCTACT